ACAGTACTATTTATGTAAATTAGAAATACATGCATGTGAAATAATGATGTGTTAAGAATTTACACATATGAGAGGATACTGGATTAAAGGCATTAGAACAGGTGAAGTAGAAAAGAATAAATAAATAAAGCAAGGGGTTTTGGGTTGCCGATGGAGGATAAAGGCTCCCTGGTTGGAGGAGCATGATTATCTCATTCTGCATGTAAGGGCTAGGGATGGAGGTGGGGAATAGGAGATACTATAATTGAATTCATTGCTTTCATTTTGTAAAAAAGAAGGCATCAAAATGTCAGACCTTTTGTAAGTTTGCCAGTAAACTTTTTTACTTTAAGCTCTAATTAAAATGTATTCATTCAGCTTTTCTGTAAATAGGTAAAATCTAAAGAACAAATTGTAGATTCGTGTACGGTAATAATGAGTGATGCTGCGCAATGGTGAGTGTGCCCAGCTGTTGGAAAGATTCTTGGACAAAAGGAAACCTGGCACTTCTAGGTTTGTCTGTTTTTGCTTCACAGGAGTGGTCACCATCTCACAACTTGAAGAGCCTGAGAAAGAAACAGCTTGCTACTCGAGAGGCAATGGCCCGCCAGACTGTAGTCTCGGACACGGAGCTAAGTATTGTTGAGTCATCTGTGATCAGGTACAGTACGGTGTTTCCTGCCACTGTGATTTGTACTAGGAGTTTCATGTCTGAGAACCTGAAAGATGTCATCTAAAGATATCTGTGGTAGAAAGTTTGACTCTGCTTTATACCCAGCTTACTGAAAAGTTAGTTTATTATTGTACTGTATTGCTTAGTGTATGTAGTCAATAACGTATTCAGTATCATCCACCCATTAGCATCTATTAGTGAATGTAATTTTTCTCAGTGTCCTGGCCCGTAAACTTCATCTTCTGAAATTCAAACGAACATAGCATAGGCATACAAGCAGATCATATCATCACTTATGCACACCAAGGAAAATGTACTGGGAATTCTAAACTTGTGTGCTATCCCCATCCATATCAGTTTTACAAACGAAAAGCTTTGGAGGCATTGACGGGCAAGGCCTCTCTTCTGTTGAGGAGAGTTCGACAGCAGAAACAGCTAAGAGGTTTCTTTTCCTTAAGTTTAGATGATCGTTTTCCTCTGTGTAGGGTAAACTTTCTCTCATGGTATGACTCTTTGGGAGTGGTTTGTGTTTTCCCTTTATTAACTGGGCAAAAATTAGTTTCAGACTTTTTTTAATGGTTTTGGACCTCCTGTTAATTCGTCTGTACTTTGGGAGAGTTAATTAACTAAGGGTGTCACCTGAGGGAAAAGTAATATTTTTATCTATCCCAAAGCTTGTTGCAGGAGGCAGAAAGTAAATCTGAACTCAGTCAGAACATCTCTGCCCGGGAACATTTTGTATTTACTGATAATGACGGCCAAGTTTATCATCTCACTGTTGAAGGAAACTCAGTGAAGGACAGTGCTCGGATTCCACCAGATGTGAGTCTAACCCTTGATTAATCTTCATCAAGGGTTCTTATTAAAGATGGTGTTGGTTCCATGTCCAGTGAAGGCAGAGTTGAGTTGGAAAGCTTCTTCAGAAAAGCTTAATGTGAATAAACTTTACTATTTAAGGAGACATTATCATTGATTAAACTTGTTCCTTACTGCTAGAGGATAACATTATAACTATTTTGATTAAATATTTACTGTCTGCTGCTCATTTTTATTCTGATAATAATCAATAAGGAATTACTTCCATTTTACCTGTAATGAAACTGAGGGAGAATAAATAACTTTCCCCAGGCCACCCAGCTTAACTATGTGGCAGAGCAGTGTTTTAAACTCAGGTCTGTCTGACTTCAGTATCTGTCCTCTTTCCATTTCAGGCATTACCCTGAAGGATTTGACTTACACTCTAGTATTATTTTTGGATAATAGTAATCAGGTTGTAAGTGTAATGGTATTACTATTTACTAACTCATATAAATCCTTTCTATGGCATTGTGGAATTCTGTGACTAAAGTTTTGTAGTTAATAATTTGTGTCAGCATGCATTTCACAAGTTGTTTTTAATAGGTGGATTAAGAAAAAAAATTTTAAACTAATACAGACTACTATAATGGTTAAATGGAGGCATGAAGGGATTTTTAAAAATATACATATTTATTTAAAATTGCCATCTAAAAATGGAATGCCAACGCCAATATTTTATAGGTGGCTTGGGGTCTCACGAAGTTGCAGTCTAGATGTTGGCTGCTGCTGAAGTCATTTCAAGTTCAATGGGGTAGGACGATCTGTTTCCAAGACGGCTCACTCACATGCTGATTGCAAATTAATGCTGGCATTGGTGAGAGGTCTTAGTTCTTCCTCATGTGGACCTCTCTATGAGGCTGTTTGGGTGTCCTCGTGACATGACAGCTGGCTGCCCCCAGAGTGATCCAAGGGAAAGCAAGAAGGAAACTGCAGTGTCTTTTGTGACCTAGTTTCAGAAGCCAGTTTAAAGACAAAGTCTTAATTAAGCATTCTATTAGCATGGCCAGGAAAACAGAAATAAGATATTGGAGTGTTGCTTCATATTATACAGAATTTTATTTATTTGGTATGTTTTTTGTTATTGAATTTATTATAATATTGATTTTTTAATACAATTTTTCTTTTGTTTGTTGAATGCCACTAGAATATATGCAATGTTTGGTGTGTATGCCAGTCTATTAATGGTCAATTTGTCAAACCATTGGAGCTCTTCTATTTCTTACCATGGATACCATGTGAATTTTTATGTTGTTTAATAAATGCAAAAACAAAATTTATTTTAATAAATAGAGAAGTAATTGAGCAGTAATATTATTTAATAGCTAACATGTATTGACTGTGTGAGAGGCAGCGCTTTACGGCCTTTACCTTTATAAATTTATTAACACTATTAATAGCAACTCCTCAGGTTTCATGAACTTACCCTACTTTATGGATGATAAGTCCAAGACACAGAAAGTTTAAGTAAACATGCCCCAAATCATATGCCAGTTTAGGTGGTCAAGCTGGGATTCAAGCCCAGGCAGCCTGATTCCAGAGCCCAGGCTGCTAAGCTCTCCATGACGCTGCCTCTGGGCCTCCGTTAGAACTGCAGGTTCCTCTCTTTCTCCAAGTTAGATTTATTACAATCTAAATTTCTGTATTTATGTTTCTATATGTAACTTCTATGCAGAGCTTTCTGTACATTGAAATTGTACACAAAACAGCATCTCTTCATCTTCATTCCAGAAGTTTCCATAGGTATCTGTCAAGCTCTGGATCCTGTTTTCCAATAGAAAAATTACTGTACAATTCGTTATGAAATAGCTTTAAGTTTCCCTTGGAATGGATTTACTGCGGTCCCCAACCCCTGCCTGTGGTCCAGTACCAGTGGCCTGTTAGGAAATGGGCCACACATCACCACCTGAGCTCCGCACCATGCCCTCCCCATGACACCCGTCCCACTCCCAGTCCATGGAAAAATTGTCTTCCACGAAACCAATCCCTGGTGCCAAAAATGTTGGGGAGCACGGCTTTGCAGTGAGAGATAACTTAGAGTCAGTTCTCTGAAAAGGCTTTCTTATTTCTGTTTTTTTCTTCTTTTTTCTTTTTTATAAGGCACTTCTTCCGCAAAAGACACCCTTTCTCTATAAATCTACCTCATATAACAATGTCTATCGAATTGTAGTCTCCTGTTTCTTCATGGTTGGAACTGATATGCTTTGTAGCCCTTTTAGTGTCTGAAGTCAGCGTTTCAGGATTTGATGGCATTCTTACTAAAGCAAAACTCTTTATAATTAAGTTTTTTTAAAAGATCCTTATTTCATTATGGTCATTAAGTAAAAATATTTCTCTGTTATGACAGCTTATAAGTAGTGAAATTTATGTGTGTTTGTTGCTGTTTTCTAGGGAAGTATGGGTAGTATTACATGCATCGCTTGGAAAGGTGATACATTAGTACTTGGAGATATGGATGGAAATTTAAATTTTTGGGATTTGAAAGGCAGAGTATCCAGGTATGATCCAAGAATGAAATTTTGTTATTTAGTTAAAAAGAAAAAGATAACCTCTTGATATGGTTTCACTGGAGGCTTGTAACTTGGCAAGCAGAATTAGTAAACGTGGGTCTTTTATCACCTGACCTTGGGAGGAAGGGTCTTGAGCCAAGCTCTTGATTGTTCACAGGAGACCCTTATCTGCAGGTGGCCCATGCAGAAGTCCTGGGGCCTTATTCTAGCTGACATCAGAGGGCAGGTCCTTTCTGTCAGACGCGGCTCCCTGTCCCAGAAGGGAAAGTGGTTCTCCCATCGTCAGACCTGTCAGAAATGGAAATAGGAAAAGACATCAGACATAGTTTTTGGTGACTAGATATTACTCTACATTGTATTGGTGTTTTTGTTTTTGTTTGTCCTCAGAGGAATACCTACACACCGAAGTTGGGTGAAGAAGATCCGTTTTGCTCCTGGCAAAGGAAACCAAAAGTTAATAGCAATGTACAATGACGGCGCTGAAGTGTGGGATACTAAAGAGGTAGGCCCGGTGCCATGAGGATAAAATATAAATGAAGCTGGCTAGCCATAGTAACTGTGCTTTCCCCCTTCTTTCTGATTTAGAAATGAAAACTATATAATGGGTTTGTAAGGTTCTTATAACAAATTATTTTCTTTTTAGCATTTTTACTTTATAGTATTTCTGCTCTGGAGGTAACAGCTCAACAGATTTATTTATTTATTTTTTCATGTTATCACTGTCTTTGAGACCTTTAAAATGCGGTCTACATGTGGAAGATAGATTTTCAAAGGCTATTCAATTCTGAACTTGCACCGGGCCTTTGCCACAGGCAGTCTTCCTTAACCGTTTAATACATGGTGATAAATATCTTCCTTTTCTGTTTGAAAATGACAACCACATTCACTCTGGAAGGTTCAGATGGTGAGCAGTTTAAGAAGTGGAAGAAACGTGACCTTTCGAATATTGGACGTGGACTGGTGCACATCAGATAAAGTGATCTTGGCATCGGACGACGGGTGCATCAGGGTGCTGGAGATGTCTATGAAGTCGACGTGTTTTAGAATGGACGAACAAGAGCTAACTGGTATGGAATTTTCATGAAAGGGGGCTTTGAACCCCTGCCTTTTATTTTGTCACAAGTTGCTGTCTTCTAGGGAGAGAGCTACTTCTGCTTTCATTTCAGTCTTATTTCCTAAGAACCTGAGTTTAAGAAAATATAGTAACTTAAAGCTTGAGTGTTTTTACTGCTGAGATGCTGTACTCTTTTTAGCTATAGTTGTCAGTCATTCCCAACTCAGGTTTTCTATTAATAAGTACCATTTTTTGACCCCTTTCTTAGTGGTTTGTTAACAAGATAAAAGATATTTACATTCATAAAAATAGCTTACTCGGAATTTAGGAGAACTCTTCAGAGGAGTGATTAAGGCTGCTGGCTTTTTAATAATGAGCCTTGTGTCTTTTGCAACCATATATCATTGAAAAGTCACTTTGTAAAGTGTTCTCAGTATCATGAATTTTGATACCTGTCTATCACTTGTTAAATGGCCAGTCAGAGCAAAATTGGGTGATCACAGTATCTTGCCCTTTTTTGTACTGTTGTTTTGAGATTGCTTTTTACCAGAATAAAAAATATTTTAGTAAAATGACCCTATATGTGACTTTTATAAAAAGAATGGGAAAATTGTGAATGCATCCATCCATGAGTTTAAAAGACAGCTTTTGTCTGACAAAATGCAATGTTCATCCTCGGAAGATACTTTTGGAGGGAGACAATTATTCTCATCCCAGTTGGAGCAGAGCAGGACCTTGCTGCGTTGAGTATTCTCCCAGCATATTCCAGACTGATCTGTAGAAAATTTTATAAGAGACTCGTTTAGTCATTTACTGAGTCAGCTGTGGGAATTGTCTGTACCTTTGTAGATTCAGCGTTTGGCTCTTTTAGAGCCAGTAAGTTATGAAAACCTGCCCTTTCACTTTACGTTCATGCTTGAGCCACTGCCAAGTTGCTGGGAATGTTGGTGCGGCTACCTTGAACTGCCTGAGGCGTGCTTTGCTGTGTCCCTGCCCTGCCCTGCCCACTGTGTCTGGGTCCCCCCGCTTCTTACTGTGTAACTGTGCCTGCCATCGGGTGAAGCCAGAACTGGAGCGTGGCACTCGGTATCAGTCCCTGAGTCACTCGCCAACTCTGCAGAAGTATCAGGACCTCCTCCCCGGGAAGGGCAAGTACTGATACTCATTTTAAACCTCAAGTTATTATGGAAATTGAGGGAACTTCAAGGGTGATTATTTTGTTAATTTAGTTACTAGTTTAGGTAAAGGTGTGTGGAAATATAATCTAAATGTTTGAAAAGCTCTTCTTTCTCCTTTAATTTAAAATTTGAATCTAAAAATCTCCAAATCCAAGGTAGCTTGTTCTGAAGTTAAACTGACTACAGAAATGGAGTCCCTCATATTAACCCGAGTTTAATACCATACTTGAATATCTGGCCTGTAGCCAGATTTTAGATTGCATTTTTCATTTAAAGTTGTTTAAATATTAAAACAAATCATTCCTTTCAATCTCTAGTGGTATAGCCTCCGCCAGAAAGAGAAAAAAAATTAAAATAGTCATGGGGAAAGGTCAATAAAATCATGTATGCATTCCATGAATTGAAATTAAAACTCAGGACAACACTCAATAAATGTAAAGAATAAAAACTGATAGTGGTACAAATGTAGAGATAGGTAAAAGAGGTCTGTGTGTTTACCTCCAGGTGCATGGATGATTTGGTTTTGGAATAAAAAGCTTTATGTAATATATTTCTGTTTTGGGGAATTGGAAGTATTTGGGGAGCTTATTGATATGGGATAAAAATAAAATCATTTTAACTCATATGCATTAGTACATCAGCATTTTATATATTCTCTTCAGTTTTCCTTGATAACAAATAGAGAACATCCTAAAATATTAATTCAAATCTGTCCAATTTTTTAGGACAACTTAGGCAGGCCTCTTCTTCTTTCCCCTCCTCCCGATAAAGGGAGGGCAGTCAGACAAATTTAGAAGATTGGAATCATTGTTTTTGAGTTGTGAACCTTTCTTAGGTCTGCTGCCTCATTTATCAGGGACATAGAATGACATAAAAATAAATCTTAATAGTCTTCTAGCAGTATCTAAAAGGAATCCAAGAGTATGAGACTTGTTTAGTAGCATTCTGGTATGATGTGGTTTCCACACCCTTTAATAGTACTAGCATTGTGTCAGAGACTATTCAACCTAACTTCCTCCCCAACTTTAAGGGCCACTACTGCGCATAGTTTTCCTAAGTGAGCATATGCAGAAAGAAGCTTTCTAAAATCGAGTTCATGCACACCTTTGCACTTCATCTGCCTCAGCTTCCACAGTTATTTTCAGTAGTTTTCATATGGGGCATCTGGAAATGTGTCACAATGACCTGCGGGCATGAGGAAGTCCAGGGATGCTAAATAACATGGACTGGACCAGTCTGGCACAGTGAAGAATTGTCCTGCCCTGGATGCCAGGAGTGTTCTTTGTGTCCCTTCTCCCCGACCTCCCACCAGTGCAGGGTCCTCTTCTTCCCAGATTGCCAGCTCAGCTTGCTGTTTGCCCCTTCCAAGTGGTGGAGGAGTAATTTTTCTACTGCTTTCCTTATTGGCTCCTTGGTTCCTGATTTTCTGCATTAATGGCATAAAGGCAGCTAACAGCCTGGGTGTGTTTATGATTAACACCTCAGATAGCTATAGTCCAGATGGAGCAAAATGTATCTAAGAGAAGTACCAATGATGCTAGCTGCCTTTTCATTCTAATTCTGTAATTTCCAGAGGTGAGTGAGCTCTTGTAGGTGACTTTCTCCAGCTATGACATGATCCCGTTACTTTTTCATGGGCTGATCTTTGCCCTTCAGAGGAAAGACTTAAATTCATTTGAGGATGAGAAGTAGTAGAGATCACTTTCAGTTTCTTCATGCTTACTGGGATGCTATCAACAATATTTTGCTTTTGGAGAAATAGCACATATTTGTTTTTAAAAATAGGACATTTCCCTCAGTTGACTCAAACAGATTTGGTAAATGTTGTCTTGCTCACTTTACATAAACACTGTAGATGCTGCTTTCTGTGAGTATTCTCTTGTGTCTTTTCGTTTGTTCATTGATTAAGAAACGATCACATAGTGTGGAAACTTTTCTTCAACCATTCCAAGTTTAATGTGTATTGTTAATTTTTTTCCTGACGTTTACCATTTCCAAACATACTGTGACTTAATGCCAATAGCTATTACGTCTAAAAGAGAAAGGGGGCCAGGTGTGGTGGCTCACATTTGTAACCTCACCACTTTGGGAGGCCAAGGTGGGAAGATTGAGCCCAGGAGCTTAAGACCAGCCTGAGCAACATAGCAGACCCTGTCTCTACAAAAAATATGAAAATTAGCAGGGCGTGGTGATGAGCACTTATAGTCCTAGCTATGCTAGAGGCTGAGGCAGATGGATCGCTTCAGCCCAGGAGTTTAAGGTGCAGTGAGCTATGATGACACCACTGCACTCTAGCCCAGGTAACAGAGCAAGACTCTGTCTCCAAAAAAAAAAAAAAACCAAAAGGGGCTGACTTGCAAATTTGAGAATTATGTAGATTGTCATCTATTAGGGATGAGTAGAAAGAAAGTTAAGTAAGCTAGCCAGTTTCATCTTTTCCAGTGCTAAGTGCTGTGTGGTACTACAGGTAATTAAGTCTCATTCTTACCAGATACATTCCTTTCTTTAAAACCTGATGTAGAAGAAAGAATGACTAAATGGAATTAAAAGAAAGTTTCATAGCAAAAGAAACTATAAGCAAAGCCAAATATAAATGATAACCTGGGAGAGAGTATTTGTAAGTCATTAACAGACTATCTACGGGGGGAAAAAAGATATACAAATGACTCTTAAATATTTATTCATAATAAGAAAAATACAAATTAAAACTATACTAAGAAACCATTTCTCACCTATCAGATGAACAAAAATTCAAAAGCTTGAAAATATACTCTGTTGGCAAGGCTGTGAGGAAACAAGCACTCTCACATTGCTCATGGTGAAATCCTTAAGGAAGGGATTTGGCAATACCTAACATATCTGTATGCACATTTACCTTTGTACCTAGCAATCCTGCTACCAAGAATTTATCTTAAGATGTACATCCATACCTGTGATTAAAATGTACACAAAAATATTCATAGGAAATTTTGAAAACAGCCAACTCCTTATCCATAGGAGATGAGTTGAATAAATTTGGGAACATCAGCACAGTGAAATAATCTATGCAGCCATAAAACAGAGTGAGGAAAATAGCTCTATGAACTGAAATAGAGTGGTATCTAGGATATGTGTCAGTGAAAACTGCAAGTGTAAAAGAGTGTGTATAGTCTGCTTGTGTAGAAAGGGGTATTTTATATATACATGCACACACCCACACATACAATATGTTTGCTTATTTTAAAAAAGGGGGGAAAAAAGCAAAATAATCCAGAAACCAGTGAGAATAGTTGTAGGAGGAGATGGGAAGATGGAGAATATGGGGATAGGAGTGATGTTTCTCTGAATTCATCTGTATTATATAGTTTCAACTTTCGAACCATTTATATGTTTTACGTATTCAAAATATACAGTGAAACAAGGATGAAAGAAAAAGCAAACCCTAAAATTGAATGCAAGAGACAGTTGAACCTAACTGTATAACAAATTGGTAACATAACTGCATAAACACAGAAACAGTTCAAATAACTGAAACACAGAACCCTCACTGTACACCTTTAGTGGTTTATATTCTAAGCACCAAGGATTGCAAAGAAGTTTTGAACTTTACTTGAGTTGTTGACGGTGGCACTAGTAATTCTGAAGCTGTTTGTGCAGGTTATAGGCTGGGACAAATTAGTGACCAGATTGCAGTTTTTGGACACCAGGGTCCCTGCTGAGGGCAAAGGCAGATACAAATGTGGAGTGGGGGTCAGTAAGGAAGAACATTCCAGGGTTGGGTTTGAATTGGTAAAAATTCATGATTTTTTTTTTTTTTTTTTTTTTGAGACAGAGTCTCACTGTGTTGCCCGGGCTA